ACATTCTTGAGTTCGACGAGGATCACATTGACGGGCCCATTTACGACGGTCCGCCCGTTTTTGATGAGGAGTCTTTGATGACGGGGTCGCGTATTTGCGACGACATGGGTCCAACGTTGAAGGACGCGGAGGTTGAACTATCGATTACGCGGCTAGCGGTACCAACTGATGTAGCGAAAGCGTGAACGAACGGGAAGATACAAGGAGATACTCTCTCCAGGACACGGGATACTCTCCCAAAAGAAAACACGATCAATTATTTTTCATTCATCAAATTCTGCTCTCTCACACAGCATAAGAATTTTTTAAATAAACCTCACAAACTAAACCTAGCTTATTCTCTAAGCTACTACTAATTATTAAATAATAATAATAATAATAATAATAATAATAATAATAATAACAATAATAATAACAACAATAATAATAATAATAATAATACTTATATCTATTCTGCAGCAAGCCATCGAATCACCGGTTCACTTGAAGGATCATTGGATCAATTGTTGAATCGAATAACAAATTATAAAATTTTTCAAATTATATATGTAGTATTTTTATTAATAAAATATAAATATAAAAAGTAACAGAAATAAATATTGTGTATATAATTATATACATCAAATTGTTAACAATATCGTATCTCTTAATAAAAATTTCCCATATAAATATGTAAATATATATACATAGTTTTATTTTTTAAAAAATTAAAAATAATAAACCAAAAAAAAAATAGTAACCTGGTTAACCCAAGTTGATCCGACCGGTTGCAGTCACAACATATGAAAGATTAAAGTGACTAACAAATCTACAAATGCAATGAATTTTATATTTGACTATGTAAATTCATAGTTTGGGCTACATGTTTAAAGTCATCATCATCATCAAGTTGTCTCTTTTGATATGAAAACCATTGTCAAAATTCCTGTCGACGACTTTAAATATGGCTGTAATTTCAGCACACAGGAGTTTTCACGGCTAAAAAACACGATAACAAGACATCAATTCTCTGAATTCTACAATCACGCCAAAGAACAAAATAACTACTACGCAACATACCAAAGCAAGCAATTCCCTTGCTTCGAAAATTTCCTCCTTTGGGAGGGAACTCAAGAAAGCTGAGTCATCACACGTTCACATTTATCTTCCAAAATCTTCACGGCTTCAGTGAATAGTACTTCGGGAGGTAATGCACCCGTAGATTCAATTGTAACTGATAAAATAGAACGACAAGTAACTAATAAGCTTGTACAGACCAAAAATGCTCAAGGGATAGGAAAATCGTAGAAAAAATGGACTACTTTATTATTTTCCCTCAACAACAACAACAACAACAACATACCCAAACAACAACATACCCAGTATATTCCCAGTATATTATTTTCCCTCAAACATCTTAAAACAAACCTAAAGCCTCTAAAAGCAAACATTTATGTCTTTAGTAGTGGTAAATAGCAGATTCTGCACTACTCGTTATTGCCAGTCACACGA